TACGACACAACAGAAACACAACATTAAAATGTAACATACACAGAAACGAACTATAATATAACAATTGCCATTTTCCGGACTTGGTACAGGACATTTTAAGAAAAAAATGGTGGGTTGAACCTGGTTTTGTGGCTGGCCAAACCTCCCGCTTTTATGGCAATGTTAAAAATAACATTAAAATGACAACATTACATGACAGGACTACAATACAAATAAATGGGAGAACATATAGGACAGAGAAACATACGAATAATAGCTAGCAAAAGGAACCAGGTTTAAAATTTAATACGCAAGACGCGCGCCTCGTCCACACAAGACCAACCAGCGACGCCCAGATAATAAAAAGTACGAAAGCCAAAACAAGCACAAAGCTGGAGAGCATCGAGGACCAAAAGCTCCAAAAAGTTGTGCCAAACACGGCCAAGGTTATATGTCAAGGACAAGAAAATCCTTAGTATTTAGAATAATTCATACTTTTGCAAACAGTAAATTTATAAAAATGACTATATAATAGATATACATGATAACACCGAAGTGGTGACTAATTACAGAATAAAAACGGATACATAAAACAAAATAAACCAGCACATAAAAATTCACAGCTGAGTTAGCCAAAGAGACATAATAACAAAGAAGCACAAAAAGAATCAAGATGTTCCTCCATTCATGACATAAATATTAAAAATTCCAAGTTTTCATTAATTTTTTTTATAAAAAAAAAACCGATGATTTTAACCAAAATCGTCCATTCCCCCCTTTATAATCTCGGTAGACTTAGTAAAACAAATATGACATCCTGGACACAATAACACTCAAGAAGTTAAATTCATAGATGTTAAAGCATGTTCTGCGTAGATTTACTGGGGTATATATAACCCACAGTCATTTAGGCAGGGTCAGATAAATCCTACCAGACAGACATGTGCACCATACAATCATACCATGCACCAAATATAGTAAGCCTATTGCTCATAACATCTGACATAATTACGAAAACTGAACATTGACCAATGAACCATAAAAATAAGGTTACAGTTAGTAAACCATGCCAGCAACATGTACACCATACAATCATTCCATGTACCAAATATAGTTGACATGTTACTTATAGTATCTGAGAAACAGACATAACCATTAAAACTTAACATTGACAAACAAAACATGAAAATGAGGTCGAGGTCATATGATAGACTTACATGTACACATAACAATCATTCCATACACCAAATATAGTTTACCTATTGCTTATAGTATCTGAGATACATAGGTGACCATGAAAACTTAACCTTATACATAAATATGGTTTTTTTGCTTATGTTTATTTTAGTACATCAATTATATTTCTGTTTTTGAAGGCTAATTTCAATGAACATTAATTATAATTTTTATTGCTAATCACATTGTTTTCACTGTTGAAATAAGATCTAAATAGAAAAAAATTGAAAAGCAAACTCTTCCAAAATGGTTATTAAAAACCCCATTTTCAGCACTATTGGCTATATCGTTTTAGCCATCTTTTATTGGCAGAGAAGTCAGAGTGCCCAGAGAACCACTGACCTTTGGCAGGAAAACTGGCATCCTAGTCAATAACGATTGGAGTAAAAAACACCTGGATGCCATGTGTGGGGCTCAAACTCAAAACATCAGTGTTGACAGGCTAGTGATACAGTAGATGAACTAATAAGATCATTTGGCTACCGAGGCCCCTGCAATGCTAACACAATTGTTTATCACCAAAAATTCAACTAGTCAAGTAGAGTTCATTAATGGATGTAAGTAGATGGACTTTAATTTTGAGTTCTGCATCAAGTGAAGGAGATCTGTTCCTTGTTTAAGTGTTGTCTCTTTTTATCATATTTTTATTCTATCTCTCCCCTAGTACATTTTGTACTGTCAATCAAATTATTTTCAAGTTGTGTATTGTTTTTTTTTTTTAAATAATATAATTTTATTCAAATTTCCTGTTATACAATATCCCTAAGCAGCCCAGGGAGCAGACTTAGGGAGCCCTGTTTTATAACATTCTGCATTTGCCTAGCGGGAACAAATGGCATATTTCAATGATAACAAAATTCAAAAATTTAAAAATCAAATTATACTCCAATATTTCACCTTTTTCAAACACAATTGACATAGATACATTATCAAAAAGTAAAATAACAAAAATACCGAACTCTGAGGAAAACTCAAAACGGAAAGTCCCTTATCAAATGGCAAAATCAAAAGCTCAAACACATCAAATGAATGGATAACAACTGTCATATTCCTGACCTGGTACAGTTATTTTCTTATGTAAGAAATGGTTGATTAAACCTGGTTTTATATGTAGCTAAACCTCTCACTTGTAAAAGGACAGTGAGATGTTTTCTTAGGGTTAATTTCGCAGTAAAATGCAAACATAGCAAAAACTAGAAACACACGAAATTTTCCGATATATGGTAAGCTGAATCAGTCTGATCAATCGAGTTTTTCCTTGGAGTACACAATATATATGTATTTTACAAACATCTTTTATCTAAAAGGGTTCAAGATTGAGAAAATTTAACATCAGGAAGACACTCACTCACTGTGTATGTATAGGATATAACACAATGACATGTCTGAGTAGTAATATCCTATTTACAGTAAAGTCATCAAATGTTAATAATTTGTTCCCTGTAAGTATAGTATGTAATATAGATACAATAAATAAGCGTTGATTCTTGAAAAAGAAACCATGAGCCCGGAGGGCGAATGGTTTGTTTTTCATGAATCAACGCTTATTCATTTTATCTATAACTTAAACTATTGTGTTAATGTCTTTTCAAAATTAAAGCCTTTAAAGCCTTAAAGCCTTTTCTTAATTAGAAGGTATTGTAAGTGAGTTTAAATAACCATGTTATCACAGAGATATGTCTCGCCTTTTTGTAATTTTGATAATGCAAATGTTGAAATTAAAATAGCAATACTTTAACATTTAAGTTATGCAAATATTCAAAGTCGATGAACCATGACTGAAGGTACATGGCTAAACAATCTCTATGGAATGAGATGTGCCAATGCTAATACAACTGCATACCAAATACCATTGACTTATTATAAGTCGTTCCCTTTAAACAAACCTAAACACAAACATTAACTTGTAAACTATGTAAAAGTTTCAAAGTCAATGAACCATGATCAGGGGTGGGGCTATATAATCTCCATGGAAACGATACTTGCAAATGCCAATAAATTTGCATACCAAATATCATTGACTTAACATTAGCAGTTCATCTTAAACTGATCTAATCACAAACTAATACATGTAAACTAAGCAAAAGTTTCAAAGTCATTAGACCATGACTGAGGGGGCGGGGCCAAATATTCTCCATGGAAATGAGATGTGCTAATGCTTATACAACTGAACACCAATTAACATTGGCCTACCACTAATGGTTCCCCTTGAACTGACCTAATCACAAACTAATACATGTTAACTTAGCAAAATTTTCAAAGTCTATAGACCATGACTAAGGGGGCAGAGCCAAATAATCTCCATGGAAATGAGATATGCCAATGCTTATACAACTGCATACCAAATATCATTAACCTACCACTAGTGGTTCCCCATAAATTGACCTAACTACAAACTAATACATGTAAACTATGAAAAGTTTCAAAGTCAATAGACCTTGACTGAGGGGGCAGGGCCAAAAATTCTCCATGGTAATGAGATGTGCCAATGCTAATTCAACTGCATACCAAATATCATTGACCTACCACTAGTGGTTCACCATGAACTAGACCTAATCACAAACTAATACATTGTTGACGCCGTCGCCGACGCCGTAAACAGCATACCTATGTCTCGCTTTTTGACTCCGTCAAGGCGAGACAAAAATACAAATATAACACAACACTTCTGCCTAATAAATTATCAGGCATCTGAATATTACCTGTGTTTACATAGTAAGACACATTCGAACTTATTTCTAATAAAATTGAGAATGGAAATGGGGAATGTGTCAAAGAGACAACAACCTGACCAAAGAGCATATATAAAGTATATATAATAAGTATGTTACCGAAATTTTTAACAAGAAGCCTAATTCTAGGCACATCACGATTTACTCACATAGGAATTTGCGAATAAACATTTGTAAAATTATGTAGTAAAACAGATGAAATCTTACTATATTTATAAAACAAAAATGGACAAATTGAATGTAATCATTTTCGTTTCAAATATGTGAAATAACCAATAATAATCCAAAAATAAACGATAAAACTCGCTATTATTACAAAAATATCCACAATAACATACAAAATAAGAAAAAAACAGAAAAACTAAAGAATAGGGACAACAAAGAGAATACAGGGATTCGAACCTAAACCGAAAAGTCCCTACCTTTAAACTTAACTCTTAAACTCATTGATCTTAACCATGCTAACCTCGTGGCTACCAACTTATACTATACGATTGCCTATTATGTATATATAAAGGTACAGGCCCTGTGTGTGCGTTGTACCGATGTATATCATATGTTCATTTATATATATATATCAAATAGACATTTAAATTGTAACCCATTGGTAGCCAAGAGGTTTCGTCGATATGATGATGTCAGTCGCACATAACAGATTTCAAGGACAGGTTCGATTCCCAGTGAAGGCATATAAAAATTACAAAAAAGTTTTTAAATTAATTCCATTAGTGAACAGAAATCAGTAAATTAGCTAATTCAAACTTAATGAAATTAGGCACACAAAGGAAACAATTGAATATAATTTGGTGAATCCATTTCAGCGACAGATTTAGAAAGCGTTGATTCTAGAAAAAAAATCCACGGTAAATGAATAGGCTGACATCACGACAATGGTTTAAATCATATGAACAGTTAAGCTATTGGTAGCCGTTATCATTCATCAAATTTAACAGGAAATCAAATGTCACAGTACTGAGAAAAAATACTTAAATAATTAAATAAAATTTCCCTGAGTGTAATGTGAACAAAATAAAAGTCAAACTGTCAAAATGAACATTTAAAAACTTAAGATCCACGTAATGGCACTATCAAAATCTCTTCAGAGTGGGCAAGTTCCAATGTCCTGTCAGATGTGTGAGGAATCTAATGAAATCAAATGGAAATGCTTGCTGTGCGACTTTCTCTTGTGTACAAAATGTCAGAAACTTCATAAGAAAGTGAAATCTACTGACCAACATACAATCATAGACATTAAGGACATTGCTTCTCATCAGCAACAAACCAATGATAAACTAGATTTTATTAAAATTCCATGTGGGATTCATGCAGGAGAAAACTGTTTCTTATACTGTCAATCTTGTGAAGTAGTTGTCTGTCCTTTGTGTATTATAAAAATACATGATAAACACAAGATGATTGAATTAGCTCAAGGATATGAACTTGCCATAAAATCTGTAAAACATTTCAATTCTGAGATTGACCAGAAATTAGTACAAACTGTGAAAGTATTATCTGAACTGGGAATTTTCAAATCTTCTGAAGATTCAAAAAATGAATTAGAAAAGCAGAAAATTCGGAGTCGAGAAATTTTTTTAAAGAATGAAGTTGAAAAGCAGGCAAATAAACTTTTGAACAAACTTGACCAGAGAGAGGAACTTTTGATGAAATCAGTGAATGATGCAGAAAATAGATCAGAAAAGATCAAGACAGATTTAGACTCCAGAAAGAAGAACTTAAGCCTCGCTTTAAATTCCAATAATGCTAATCAAGTTTTCAGCATACATTCAGAGGAGAAAACTTCAAGAAATCAAAGCAATGATCATGTCAAAACTACATTTAAAAAGTTACCAAAATTTGTATCAGGAAAACAAATAGTTCCTGATTTCGATCTTGGGTCATTAGTTGAAACTGATGAGGACAAAAAGCAATTTGAATTTAAAATGATAAAACAATACAAAACAAAGCATCCACTTGTTGAAAATTTAATCTGGTGTGGTGATGCATCAATGTGGATAAGTCGATTTAAAAGCCATAAACTACAAAAAATGAAACTGACAAATGAAGCATTACACCAGATACATACTTTTAAAGTGAATGTTTATAACATGGTATTTCTACCATCTGGTGACCTCCTCCTATCTACAAATGAATCTAACCTTAAAGTACTTCCCAATAGCAGCAGTAAAGTGGAACCAACAAGGTACATTGTGACTCCATTAATAACCCTCGCTGTACAAGTAACAAATAATCATAGAATACTAGTGGGTACAAGAGAGGTTCAACCCAACGACTTCCCTGTCAATGGTCCTAGACAAGTCATCATGATGAATATGGATGGGAAAAAGGAAAAAGTGTATCACACAAACAAAAAAGGGAAAACTATCTTTACCGTTCCGAGAAGAATAACTACAGACAATGACAATAACATTTATGTCACTGATATTCTGGATGAAAACTGGAGTGGTAGGATAGTTTCATTAAATGAAACCAGTGGAGTGAGATGGATATATAATGGTTATCCAGATATCACAAAAGAACAAACATTCCATCCTAAAGATTTAGTAGCTACAAAATCAGACAAAATTATAGTTGCAAATAACGAGGATCACATGATTCATATCCTTAACACTTCAGGACAGTGTATTCATTATCTGAATACTAAGGATAAGTTAGGTATTAAATTACCATGCTCTTTAGACATTGACAATACAGGTACACTGTACATAGGCTGTAATACGTACAACAGTGAACCTGACGAGGCCAAAATATATACCGTTCAAGTTTCCATATATTGATTTAATTACTTTCTTATCATCCTTCTCTTCATGTTTTTACCAATTAAAATTTTTGTCAAATTCAAAAATTATTGCACGATTTTTTAATGCCTCAAATGAAAAAAAAGACAGATATTTCACAGACATTGTTTTTTCACAGCTTTACTAGACTTGGAGCATGTCAGTGCATTCACTTGTGTATTTTTGAAACCATATGTTGACCTCTAGATGCCTTTGACTTTATGTGTTTTAGGGTTGCTGTCTCATTGACATATAATCTATTGGTCCTTTTATTCATAGAATAATGGGATGTATTTTATGAATTGATGCATACAGGTTATGCTGTTATGCTTGCAGAATTTAAAATCAGAGATATGTTGTTTTTTCTGCATTAACTTAACCAGAGAAAGCATTTTCAAATCAGCAGTACTCAAAGATCAATTCCCAGGACATTTATTCACATTACCTTTCTATTCAAGTTTGAAAACAAATAAACTGTCCATTATGGCTAGTACATACAATAAGTTTTGCATTATAAGTTAAGGCTATTGTACACATGATTTTCCCCAGCTAAATGGTGTCAACAATAGAAGATGAAGTAGTTTTAATTGTGTCTATAATTGTGAAAAATATGTACTGCAATATAAATATTAAAGATAAAAATAAATAAAATGCTCTGCCGGGGCACAGCTTGATAAGACTGCAGAGGTCTAAGAACTTCAGAAGATTTTCCTATTATGGTCCAATATCCAAAATCTAAATATACGGTTAGAATCAGCATATCAAAGAACCACAAAAATTCAATTTTGTTGAAATCAAACAAAAAAGTTTAAATTTGGACCTTTTTTTACCTCAATGCTGACCAATTTGATAATGGGGCCCAAAATCCAAAATCTAAATACACGTATAGATTCAGCATATGAAAGAACCCCACTTTCAATATTCAATTTTTGTTGAAATCAAACAAAATTCAATTTTGGACCTCAATTGGACAAACTTGAAAACTGGGCCCAAAATCAAAAATCTAAATACATGTTCATAATCAGCATATCAAAGAACCCATTGGATTCTATTTTTGTTAAAATCAAACTTAGTTTTGATTTTGGACCCTCTGACCCTTAATGCGGACCCATGTGAAAATCGGTCCAAAAAATAAAAAATCTAAATACACTGTTAGATGCAGCATACCAAAGAACCCCAAAAATTCAATTTAAAAAAAAAATCAAACTATGCTTAATTTTGGACCCATTGGACCTCAAAGTGGACAAATTTGAAAACAGGCCCCAAAAATAAAAATCTTATTACACAGTTAGATTCAGCAAATCAAAGAACCCCAATAATCCAATTTTTGATGAAATCAAATAACATTTCATTTGGACCCTTTGAACCTCAATGTGGACCAATTCAAAAACTGGGCCCAAAATCCAAAACAAACCTAAATACAAGGTAAGATTCAGAATATTAAAGAACCCCAAAAATTCAAGACTTTGAATTACACCACACTGAAATTTGTCAAGAAATAAGCAATTTGTACAGTATTAGAAAAGTATTGTTTTTGAACCCTTTTTCCTAAACGGTTAAGGACATAAACCCCAAAATCAATCTCAACCTTCCTTTTTATGGTATGGAACCTTGTGGTACAATTTTAAGGGCAACAAAAATATGAAAACAACATGTTATGAATTTCATGTGTCCAAAGTGCTTTTCTGGATTTCCCTTCATCAGGGACACTCACAGCTGAATATTTAAAAGCCAAGGATGTATAAAAGAGAAGCCAAAGATACTAGAGGGACATTCAAACTCATAACTCGAAAATAAACTGACAATGCCTTTGCTAAAAAAGAAAAAGACCAACGGAAAAACAATAGAACACAAAACATAACATAGAAAACTAAAGACTGCATGAGCAACACGAACCCCACTAAAAACTAGGGGTGATCTCAGGTGCTCTGGAAGGGTTAGTAGATCCTGCTCCACATGTGGCACCTGTCGTGGTGCTCATGTTTAACAAACCCAGTAATAAGTCTTATTTATTAGGTCACATTCGGGAAAAGGGGTTTGGATTGTAGTTACGACAATAGGAACATATCCATTATCATCTGTGAAACGAATATTCCATAACAACCAACCAACTTACGAAGGGATGATTTCAAATTCACCACTTGGAACTTTTGGTTTAATAGCTTCCTTGTAAGCAGCAACCCTCTATCAAGGAAATCATGATATATCGTATTAATTGGGAGATATATACTCTGTATGCAGGCGCTGCTGGAATGTTGCTATATAGAAATAGAAAGTTCACATTTGGGTACATTGTCAATTTCTAGATGTAAGTCAAGATATGAGGCAGACTTAACTGTATCTGCTGTATCCTTTATCTCAAGTTCGATGGGATAGATGTGTTCAATATAGTCACCAAATTTTGAATTATTTATATAGAGAACATCATCTATATAGCTGAAAGTAAAGTTAAAGGCTACTTCTTTTCTTTCTTCCTAAGAAATTCCTGTATGAAGTCAGCCTCATATGAATAAAGGAACAAGTCGGCAAGAAGAGGGGCAAAGTTTGTTCCCATGGGAATGCCGATTGTTTGTTGAAAAACATGTCCTCCAAAAGTAACAAATATAAGAAACAGTTGAAGAGCTATTTAACCAAATAAGACCTTAAAAAATAGCCAAACCCATCTAAGGTCAACTTTGCCTGAGGGAATTGAAACCTTAGTTTCTTTATAATTTCAAAATTTATAAACGGACATTTTTAGAAAGGTTGGTTATAAATCATATCTTCTGAAGTACTGACTACTGAGCTGATGATACCCTAGGGGACTGATAGTCTACCAGCAGAGGCAATGCCCCAGTGCTTTAAAAAATGAAAACAATAACACATATAAGAAGTTGTCCAACAGTTATGATGTAAATTGACAGTAGGTTGATCTTAACATTATGAACATTTCTGCCTATGTCAGATTTTCTTATATGACAGTTTTCAAAATAATAGAAAAACTTGCATTTTCCCCTATGTTCTATATTGAGCCATGTTGGCCATGTTGATTGGAAGGAATAGGTGTAATACAACCATTGATTTTCCCGTATTAGTCTTTGTTAAATTAGCACTTTTCAAAAATTGTGCAGAATTTATCTTTGTTTCAAATAAAGAAATACTTGGCATGAGTAAAGTTTTATTCTGTCCAGTACTATAGACAAAATTTCACATAACATTTCATTGTATATAAGAAAATAACCATCACTGGAAGTTAACCAATCAAATTTTCACCCCTTTTTTCTGCTGTGTACAAGCTTTAGTAACCATGTAACCTCAAGTTTCCAAAATATTCTATAGAAACACCAAATAAAATAAATGGGAAATGTGTCCATGGGACACAGATGATGCCCCCACTTGCATATCATATAAAGTTATACAGGGACATAACTGAAGAACGGTTAAAGTGACACTACCCAAATTTGTACTTGATCTGAGTTTTGTGGTAATAAGTATTGTGTATAAGTTTTATAACATTTGGTTGAGGCAAACTTAAGTTTAGAGAAACGGAAACGAAAAATTCAGCAATTTTTCCATTTGTAAAGGGGCATAACTCTAGAACAGTAAAAGTGACGCCACCAAAATTCAAACATGATCTGTATTTTGTGGTAATAAGCATTGTGTATAAGTTTCATAACATTTGGTTGCGGCAAACTAAAGTTAGAGAACGGAAACTAAAAATTCAGCAATTTTTCAATTTATAAAGGGCTATAACTCTAGAACGGTTAAAGTGACGCCATCAAAAAAAAATTCAAATTTGATCTGTGTTTTGCGGTAATAAGCATTGTTTCATAAGATTTGGTAGAGGCAAACTAAAGTTAGAGAACGGAAACCAACTTTAGGACGTACAGACGTACGTACAGATGGACAAGGGTAAAACTTAATGCCCCCTCCGCTACAGCGGGGGCATAAAAATAATGGTGGTTTGAAACACCCAAGACATATGTTTATGACTCAGAAATTTTTTACTGCAATGAAATGTAGGATCAATTTCCTACAACTGTCAAATTCAAGGGAATATTTTTAAAACCGGATGTGACGTACTATGATTTGGTGGTATTACACCTAAAGAAGACTTTTTTGTTGAATAAACTGAATGTGATTTTTTTTCCTTTGTAATACTGGTTATTTCAAGCATTACTGTCAAGTTTTGTCATAATCAGTTCAATAGTTTGAGAAAAATCTATTATAATATAAGACGACATCTACTGCGATTTGAGCAAAATTTATTCGAAAAATCCAAATCAAGCTGCATCATGATAGAATATAGTGTGGACCAATAAATGATCAAATATTTATCTCATCTGCATACAAACAGTTGAATATGATACAAAAGATGACTCAAGGATGATTATAAATATCACTAATGGACCTCTTTGTCTTCATTATAAGGTCCCTTTTGGTCCATTTATACCTCTCATTTCCTCAAAATTTCAACTTTTTAGGCCATAAATAAAAAAATTTCACTCATTTATGAAAGAAATGTGATAATAAATGAGTAATTGAAGTATTCAAGCTGAATGAACTATCCATATAAAAGTTTACTGACTCAATGGAGGTTTCAATAAGTCTTTACATAAAACTTAAATTTACGCCGCGTTCCAGAGAGGGACACAAAAAGCTTCCCTTTAAGTGAATAATTTGTTGTAACTGCTTCAAAAATAATTTCATTTACTGATAACTATATATTTATCAAAGTATTACAAATTTCTATTTTAGCAAAATATAAGAAAAAAGGAGAAAAAGTCAGAAAAAGCTCCCCAAAACACTGAGTATGGCTTGCTCTGTAAACTAATATTCATGGTAAAGTCCTATTTCAAGGCAATTTTCTCATAAAATGTGTTTTTAAGACTGAATCCACTCAGAATATTTCATTTTTGTAATATTTCACTTAAATAGCATGAAATTTTAACAAATGAGAGTACACACAATGTCAAAGGTGCATGTGTAGCTTCCCATAATAGGTGTAATACCACCATTGATTCCCCCTATTAGTCTTTGTTAAATTTGCACTTT